ATATCTATCTTCAAAGTTTAAACTTTTTAAAATATGAAAACCAATAAATTTAATGTTGGAATTTTAATATCCGCCACACGATGGGACCCAGAGTTGGATTGATCAACACATAGAATCCCTTGGATCGAGGGGGTGGGGGGCCTTGAATCGGGGGTCCTTTTTTTATTTTCTATAATGTCCATAAGCCACAATAAAAGCAAAAAGTAGGGAAGAAAAGAAAAGAATGTAACGCGCATGTGATCCAACAGCCTTCTCTCTTTTCCTATTATAATCCCAAATTCTCAATATTATATATACTACAAACAAAACAAAACTAATCAAAATTTATATAAGCATTTTTTGTCAAAAATTATATAAGCATTTTTTTGTCAAAAAATATATAAGCATTTAATTTTTTTACAAGGATGAGAACAGATTGATCGAAACTAAAACAAATATTATATATTAAACAAGATTTTTTCTTTTCTTTTGGTAAGTGTTATTGTTCATATTTATCCACGAAGCAGCAGCAGCCATAACAAATACAACTTATAGAGGAGGGATCTCAATGGATTCCTCACTCAGCACACAACTACAAATTCACCCTTTTAGTCTTATCTATACAGTAATTATATAATATTATACTAACAAACTCTTTTATACACTCTACAATATTATCAATCGAACGAGTATTCTCTTTGAACTGCCTACGATTTCGTTCTTTCCAAATTAATGCACTGTTTAGGAACATGTGTCCACTGTCCACCGCATTGTGTCCTCCCAACACAACGATCTTTGCTGCAACCTGCAGGCCTGCAGAATCTTACCCCAGCTCTACAGGAGTAAGAACATTCAGAGAATAAGTGGTTTTCAGTCTCCATGGCAACACCACATAAATTACACATTCCATCCGTATCAATCTTCATTCGAGCAAGTCTATCATCAGTTGGTACCTACCCAAAATGAACATCCGAACAATAATGGAATGTTTACAAACAAGGAAAACCAAATGAGTCTTTGCCAATGCACTCTAGTCTTTTTTCTCTTAATTTTTTTTCCAAATCCAACTACTGTTTGCCAAAGATCAATTAATACCAACTCCTAATAAATTCCCAGCTTCAGCACTTAATTTCAGTAACTTCCTCAAGTTCCACCTGAAATGAGACTTGCAATCAACAAGATTTAATTATTATTAAACGACAGGTTTGATTGATATATAATAAAATTAAATTAAAATTTGAAGAAAATTAACCTTTCCTTTTACTGAAAAATATAAACTTTATCTATGATTTAGTTGTGGAAATAGATAGTACAGATATAAATAATATTTGATTAAGATATTTAGATTATCGTTCTTAAACGGATTCTGAACGAACGCAAATATTCTAAACGTTGTTGGTTAAGAGATTCAAAGTTAAATATTGACAAGTTTTTGTTTTGCCCATGATGGACCACAACCATTCATCACATGAAAAAATGGCAATACTTACAGAAAACGGGAGAGAAAAGAATTCAGTTGATGATAAAACAAAATCATGCATTGTATATGATATGAAAATAAAAAATATATTACTTTCTCCTATCCATCCATATGATTTATTACTTCATGCCTACTGCTATGTTTTTAGTACTACTTCCTTCTTCATTTAATACAAAATAAAATAAAGGAGAAATCGGTTGTTTAGTACTAACCATTGTTAAGGGGAGAAGCGTATTTTTAGGAAAAAGGAATAGCACGAACTCTCTCTCTCTCTCTCCATGTATAAATATTTGCATGCAATTTTAGATAATGAGAAGTTATTGTCAATAATCTCGGTTAAAAATTCTCATTTGACACTGTTTTTTTCTTTTAGGTTATTGGTTCAATATCAATGGGAGTAAAATTCCTCTTCCCCTGTTTTAAGAAAAAAAGGCTCTCGAAGTATGAATGTATGATGGCTCGGTTGGAGTGTAGTATACGAATTTAGTTTAGCCATTGAAATCATGGGTTCAAATAATTATTTCTGCAGGATGTACACGTATTGTTATATCGAATTCTTCAAAGAGTATGAATCATGATGCAGAAGGAACAGAGAGATATGAAATGACCCAAACAAAACTTCTATCTTATAACCTCCATTAATATCACTCTGCCATTTCCTCGTGGGATCCCATATTCTCTCGTGACCCCTCCTTTATAACCTCCATTTCATTCCCTCTATTCTATATCACTATTCTGCATCTACCACGTATATATATATACATAAACAATTATGTATATTTACTTCTTTCCGATCATGTATGTATGTATGTTTATCGTGATTATAAATATGACTAATTCCGAAAAATTAATCCAAGTTAACAAAATAACTATTATAATTTTAATCCCTCTCCCACAGACAGAAGGAAAGAAAGAAGTTGAGAGCTTGTCGTTGGCTTATACAAAACATGTTTTGATTCTTTCTTTTCAAATAAAATAATACAGCCTTTACCTTAATGTTTTTTCCATGGTTTTTTATATATATCCGTATTGGCTCTGTGTTTTAAGCTGCCTGTCTTTGAAATGGTAGTTTATATTCAAGATTTTTCTTAAAATTGATAATACATATACACCTTACGGATATAATTATTTGAATTCGAAACCTTAAAAGAAGATAATACTTTAACCACTAAGATCACTTGATGAGTTTGGATATAAGATTGATTTAGTGCTATTGAGTTTTAGATATTAGAATAGAATCCTCTTAGCTTAATGTTGTAAAAGTGGGATAGGTGTTTAAATTATTCTTTATCATCAGTTTTTGGTTTAATCCCTCTAATAATAGTTGAATAAAAAATCAGTAAAAACAATAAGAATCAATCCAACCATTTCAACCATAAAATAATTATTACACTATCAATATACCAAATAATTATTACATAAAGAATTATTTTATTACTAATTTAATTTAAATTTAATTAAATTAATTTATATAATTACTTTAATATTTAATACTTAATGGATTATGTTTATATTTTAAAAATAATTATATTATACTTTATTCAATAAATTTCAACTGAAAATCATAAAAAATTAATTAAAGCATGACAATAATAATGAATATTATATTTAATATATTTTAATAAAATCACTGTAAATTTTGATGACTATTTCTTAATGTCACTAAAAGTCACTTCCTTGTAGTGATAAACAAAACAAGAATCACGAGAATGGCAACAAAAAACAAACAACCTTCAACAAGAATCACTGTCTCCATGTCAGTCACTGCAACAACAAAATGAAATTGTACATTTTGGAGTTGCAGAAGGTCCCTGGTCTAGGTGTGAACTACTCAGGTAAGAGAATATATATATATATATATATATATATATATATATATATATATATATATATATATATATATATATCGTAAAACTCTTTTAGTTTTTCACAAATTTAATATAGTTGAATGAGTAAAATAGATCGTTAAGATTAATAGTAGGAATAATAATATATTATATGAAAAAAGAAACAAGGAGATAATCTCAGTTATCTATTTTCACTCATCTAAATATTCTAAATATATATATAAAATTAAAAGAATCTTACATTGTGTAAGTAGATCCTAACCATATTTATTTACACAATATAAAACTATTTTAGTTTTACACATATTTAGGATCATTGGATGAGTGAAAATAGATAGTCGAGATTGATTCTTTTTTTTTCCAGTGAATATATTCTCATTTCCTACTATTAATCTTAGTCATATATTTTCACTCATCCAACCGTCCTAAATTTGTATAAAACTGAAATAGTTTTAAATTGTATTTAAGATAGAGTTTTGTTACACAATGTAAAACTCTTTCAATTTTACACAAATTTAAGACTGTTGGATGAGTGAAAAATATATGGTTGAAATTAATAGTTGGAAATGAGAAGATATTTACAAAAAAAAAATAAGGAATCAATTTCAACCATCTATTTTCAATCATTCAACAATCCTAATTCTATGTAAAATTAAAGAGTTTTACGTTATATATATATATAAGCATTTCCCATTAGAATTGAATATCGGGACTTGAAGCTGACATTTGCTTCTAGCTAGCCATTGTTTTGGCTGAATATGTAGTACATTCATTGGTTTTGAAATTTCATTTTTCAATAATGAGATTAAGGGCATCACCATCAACTATAAACCTTGATTAGAAAATCAATATATATTCTTTGAATGTTATTTTCAAGATGTCATATTTTACTCTAAAAGCAGGAAAAATTTAAAATTTCTGATGCCTCTTCTTCGCATTGAAAAGCTAGAGAGAGAGAGAACATGCAAAAAAAAAAAAACAAAAACAAATATTTATTGGAAGATTATAAGAAAGAAAGAAAGGGAAAGGTGTGATATTTAATAAAATATATTTCAGTCATCGGTGTAGACTTTTAGGTACAATAATTCAATCACCCGAGTGAAGAGGAAAGCAATTAAGCCAAAGCTGAAGACCCAAAGTCCCAAGGCCAAAGCCCTCCATTATAGAAAAGTAAAGGTGGCAGCAGAGCCGAAGGGGATGTCTATACATCATTCTTTATTTTCTTATGTTTGAAATCTCTAGAATACCAAAAAGAAATTTGGAAGAAGAAGAAGATATGTCGTCACCAACAACAGCCTTTAAATCTCATCACACATCTCCATTTATCCTTTTCCTTATATCTTCCACTTTCATACAAAAATACAAAACTAATAATTGAATTGGAAATACTAGGGTCTGTTGGGTTCCTCATATTAATCAACAAAAGGTACCTTACAAAATATGAACTAAAAAGAAGATGCAAACACGGGGCTTCTAAATATATAAAATCAATAACTAAATTAAGTATTCATATTTTTTTCCAGATATGATATATATATATATTGTAAAGTTGAAGGATAGATTCAAAATTGAAAAATAATTTACTAATTATTAAAAATTTAAATTATTTGAATTTTGTTTTATAATTTAGATTTTATTTGAAATCTTGTTCGGATAGAGAGTATATGAAATTAGTAAATTGGCAAGGAGGTCTGATCACTGCACACATCAACGGCCATGTGCTAGGGATTCATTGTCAGACAAGAGAGAGATATAGTCACGGGTTTGTCTTGATAGCACACTCCCTATACACTAATTCATGTTTTAAGAAATGCGTCTGTGTTTTTCCTCCGACCACTACCCTCCTCCTCTTCTCTCCATCTCTTTCATTTACACCAGTTTCTTGCTTTGGATCTTTCAATGGCTCTGATGCTTGATAATTGCGAAGGCGTATTACTCTCACTAGACTCCCACAAAGCGGTGACGGCACCGTTCCTCACAAAAACCTACCAACTGGTCGATGATCCGACCACCGATCGCATAGTTTCATGGGGAGAAGACGACACCACTTTTGTCGTTTGGAGACCACCAGAGTTTGCTCGTGATTTGCTCCCCAATTACTTCAAGCACAACAACTTCTCTAGCTTTGTTAGGCAGCTCAACACTTACGTATAAACAAAAAAACTTAACTTCTTTTTGTTCATAAAAATTATTCCTTTTGCATCATTGGTTTGTGTACTAATCTGGGTTTTTCTTGTTGCTTTTTGGTAATGGAAACTAGGGTTTTAGGAAGATTGTACCGGAGAGATGGGAGTTCGCCAATGAGTTCTTCAAGAGAGGAGAAAAGCACTTGCTTTGTGAGATTCACAGAAGAAGAACTTCGCACCCATCTTTAAACCATCATCATTACCATTCTCCGTTGAATGCACCGAGTTTCTTCCCGTTTCAAACTCGAGTCAGCATCTCCCCGACCGACTCAGATGAACGAGCCAACTGTTGTGACTCACCACCTCTTTCTTCCCCAAGAGGAGGATATAATAACAGCTCGGTGACAGCTTTATCGGAAGACAACGAAAGGCTAAGAAGAAACAACAATTTGCTTATGTCTGAACTAGCACATATGAAGAAGCTTTACAATGACATTATCTACTTCGTTCAAAACCCTGTGAAGCCTGTCACTCCAAGCAATCTTATTTCTGGTCCTCCATATTCTGCTGTTAACACCAGTAGTTCATTATTACAAAAGCCGTTGAACCAGCTTATCGGGTATTATCCGAACAGCCCAAAGCCCCCCCAAGTTCAGGTCTTGAACTCCCCGACAGCAACATCCCAGAGCTCGTTAACCATTGTCGAAGAACCGAGCAGCAACAGTTGCAAAACGAAGTTGTTTGGTGTACCTTTACAATCAAAGAAGAGATTGCATCCCGAGTATAACAATACTGCAACAACAACAAACATGGAAACTAGAAAGACACGTTTGGTCTTGGAAAAAGATGATCTACGGTTGAATCTTATGCCTTCTTCTACTTGTTAGTTTCCTAATTATTTTATCTTCTTCTTCTTTTCCTTTTGAATGTGTACATTAATATTATAAGTTGAAAGTGAAGATCAAAAGCGATGTTCTTTTTCTTAGTTTTCCATTGGTGCAATTCATCTATTCATCATTCTGTGTGTTTCTAGCTGCATTAATGGAGAAAGAGAAAAAAATGAAAAAGGCTAGCTGTGTATGTCGATGACAATTTCTCCAGGGATTTCTTTTGATTACTCCATTAATGCATGATACATTGATACGTACAAACATGCTTTTTCATCTGGATTCAGAACCCGATACAGATAAACACATTCGAATCCCGATTTTCGAAAATGTAATTATCAACGTAATTATGACTATTATTGTGGAGTACAAAGAAGATGAAGATTATCATTTCTTGTTCCCATGAACTGTTAGACCACATATATATATATAAAATAATTTCTTTTGAAATTATAGAATAAGATTGGACTAAAAGAACAAAAAAGCACTGAATTATTCTCCATCAAAGCGAAATATAAATGTTGTTTGAAATGTTTCTATACTTGTTCAAAGAAGCAGAAACATTTGCTTGACTGGTAGCTAAAAAAATTGAAAAGCTTGTCTCTCTCTCCCTCTAATGGATTTAAGGTGTCTCACCGCCCAAAACTCTATATAAATTAGTAAAGTTTTTACATAAAGTTTGAGTACCCATCTCAACAGCTTCATTGCTGTTTCTCGAATGTAGTGATGCATAAAAAGTTTTGAACAGAAAAGAGAAATTCTTAAAGTATCTTTGTCGTGCCTATGATTTCTTTTCCGCCCCATACCAAATAAATAAAACACACATAACCCTAATAACCTACTCTCTCTCTCTCTCTTCCATATATATATATATATATATATATATATCTTTGGCTGTTGCACATTTATAGATTCATTGGGGGTATGTCGACACGTACGTCTAGTACTCTAAAATAAATATGTTGCAAGTGTAAGCATTGCAATATCAGAAATGGAATGGAACCAGGCCATTTGGCCTTACATTATCATATGCCTTTCTGAAGTCAACTTTGAAGATCATACAAGATGAGTCTCTTTTTTTTTCTTCACCGAATCAATAACTTCATTAACATTTAGGTAACGATCCAACATTTGGTAGCCGGGAGCCAAATCGTGGAATGAACTGAATTTGTTGACGGAAAAAGTAAATAAATAGTTGCATTCGATCATTCTGATGAGTTAAGAAAGATAATACACATTGCAAAAAGAAAACGCCAGAGAGAGTTTAGGATCCCTTTCAAATCATATTGTTAGGCTAGCTGTGTTGGATCATAAACTTGATCCATTATAGGAGCCTAAACCCAAACCCAAATTCAAACCCAAACAAAATTGATGTCATTGCTTACATCAATTTAGTTAGGTGAAGAGTTAGGTGAGAGTTAGTTATTTGTATATTTTAATGGTTTAAGTTATTTTATTTGTGTGGTGTATGATTGTGCTTGAGTAGTATAAATACCCCTCCCCATTTTAGTTTAAGCATCAAGAAAAATTAAGAGCTTCTAAGTGAGTGAAGAAGCAAAGTCTTATAAGAGTGAGTTGTAGTTCTTGTTTTTGAGTGAGAGTGCCCTTGTAATATTTGTTTGAGTTTCAATAAAAGTTGTTTGTGTGAGTGTTTTATTTCCAACAAAGTGGCATCAGAGAGAGTTGGAAAGATCGAAGATCTCGACGAGAGGAATCTGCCGCCGCCGCCAAAATCTTCTCAATCTGAGTTCTGACGCGCCGCCATGCACCGCCGAAAGACTGTTGCTAGAAAATAAAGTCATCATATTGAGAGATATGACAAATGGTATGACACGATTCCAAGTTCTGACACTCAACAACAACAACTACGACAATTGGAGTATCAAAATGAAGGCACTTCTTGGATCACAAGATGTGTGGGATATCATAGAGAAAGGCTATAACGAGCATGCAGATGATGATGTTTTTGCTACTCTTACACCAGATCAAAAGACAACTTTGAAGGATTCAAGAAAGAGAGACAAAAAGGCTCTCTACCTCATCTATCAAGCATTAGATGATGAAGGTTTTGAAAAGATTTCGAGTGCAAGCTCTAGCAAGGAAGCGTGGGAGAAGCTGCAAATCTCTTACAAAGGATCCGAGCAAGTGAAGAAGATCCGTCTCCAAACATTAAGAGGTGAATTCGAATCCTCACACATGAAAGAATCCGAGTCTATTTTAGATTATTTCTCAAGAGTAGTAGATATTTCTAATCAATTAAAAAGAAATGGTGAAAAGTTAGAAGATGTGAGGATAATAGAGAAGATACTTCGTTCGTTGGATCCCAAATTTGAGCACATAGTCGTGACGATTGAAGAAACTAAAGACTTGGAAGAAATGACAATCGAGCAACTCCAAGGATCATTGCAAGCATACGAAGAGAAGCATAAGAAGAAGCATGAGTTTACTGATCAACTCCTCAAGCTGTAACTCAAGGATATGCATGAAAGTCAACGTAATGATAGAAATCAACGTGGCTAAGGCAGAGACAGAGGCCATGGACGAGGTAGAAGTCGAGGTCGTGGATGAAGCTGGAATTACAACAAAAACAATTCCAACAATAACTATGAGAAAGGAGAAAGCTCAACACGAGGCCGTGGAAGAATCAATCCGAGATAAGAAAAATCTCAAGTTCGATGTTATAATTGTCAGAAGTTTGGGCATTATGCTTCAGAATTTAGAGCTCCTAACAAAAAAATTGAGGAGAAGGCCAACTACGTGGAGGAAAAGACAGATGAAAAAGAAACTCTTCTTCTAGCATGAAAGGAAGCTGATGGTGGCCAAGCAAATTCCTGGTATCTTGACAGTGGTGCAAACAATCACATGTGTGGAAGGAAAGATATGTTCATAGAGCTAGACGAGTCAGTAAGCGAAAATGTTTCGTTTGGAGATGATTCTACAATAACAGTGAAAAGAAAAGGTAACATCCTTATCAGTTTGAAAGATGTAAGACATCAATTTATTTCAAATATCTCTTATGTGCCCAATATGAAAAGTAACATCTTAAGTTTAGGGCAACTGGTAGAGAAAGGTTATGATATTCATATGAATAATTATAATCTTTTTATAAAAGATGATAAAAATAACTTCATTGCTAAAGTGTCGATGCCAAAGAATAGAATGTTCTTGATCAACATACAAAATGATGTTGCAAAGTGCCTGAAATCTTGCTACAAAGATGCATCATGGCTTTGGCCTCTTCGATTTGGGCATCTCAATTTTAGAGGTCTAGAGATGCTATCTAAGAAGGAGATGGTGAAGGGACTACCTTGCATCGACCGTCCTGACCAGCTTTGTGAAGGGTGTCTAGTCGGGAAATAATTTAGGAAAAGATTTCCAAAGGAGTCAGAGACAAGAGCCAAGAAGCCACTTGAGCTTATCCATACCGATGTGTGTGGACCGATCAAGCCAAGCTCTCTCGGTAACAGTAATTATTTTCTTCTCTTCATTGATGATTTTTCAAGAAAAACCTGGGTATATTTCTTGAAACAGAAGTCAGAAGTTTTCGAAGTCTTCAAGAAGTTCAAAGCAGCAGTGGAGAGAGAAAGCGGTAGAAAGATCAAAGCTATGAGATCCGATTGAGGTGAAGAATTTACTTCCAGGGAGTTTCAAGAGTTTTGTGAAGCAAATGGAATTCGACCACCAATAACAGTTCCTAGATCCCCCCAGTAAAATGGTGTGGCAGAAAAAAAGAACAGAACAATCCTCGACATGGCACAAAGCATGCTCAAAAGCAAGAAACTACCTAAGGAATTTTGGGCGGAAGTAGTAGCTTGTGTAGTCTACTTGATAAACTGATCTCCAACAAGAAGTGTATGGGGAAAGACACCGCAAGAGACATGGAGTGGAAGAAAGCCTAACATTTCCCACTTGAGAACCTTTGGAAGTATAACCCATGTTCATGTAACATCCTCAATACCGGGTTAATGACTAAATTGTAAAGTTTCAGAATTTGGTGACTAAAGTAGAAGAATGAAATAGTTCAATGATTTATTTTGAAATATTGCCTAAAAGATGTTAGTAATTATAAGGTGAATTGAAGGGCAAAAGGGTCATTTGCAAGGAAAATATTTAAATATGAATATATATTTAACACGTGAAAGGGAAGAGGAAACAAAGTGTTTTCCAGAATTCTCTTAATCTTTCTTCTTCCTTCACGCGTAAAAACCAAGAGTCAAAGGTGAGTTTCTTTGTTTATGGATTAATTGTTGATTTTAAGGTTGGGTTTTGATTATGAGATGACAACTAAGCTTAAGGAAAGCTTAAGTTATCTTAAAATCAAAGTATGATGGAGTTAGGAGGGATTAAAGATTTGAGGTTCTTGGGTAAAATCTTGAAATAGAGTTCATAACTTAAATTGAAAGTTAAATTTGAATTGTCATCAATCTAATTAAGAGATATGAAGTAATAAAATGGAATTTGGAACATGTTAGAAATTGAGTATGCTTCTTGAATTTCATAAGAAATATAGGATTTTGAGGTTAAAGATGATTTACATGGATATAAGTTGGTTTAAGTAATGGTAGTTGAGTTTAATAACATAATAGGGGCTTAAAATACAAGAATTAAGGGAAGAGTTGATGATTTTCGGGCTTAAAAATGAATTCTGGGCTATATGCATCGATGCACATTCAATGTGCACCGATGCATCAAGGGTAAATTTCCAGAAATTGTTCAGAGTGTATCGATGCACCCATTAAAAATGGAAACATCGAATACAATTAGTGCATCGATGCATAAGGAGTGCATCGATGCACCCCTTAAAATGAAAACATCGAAGGTGATTTGTGTATCGATGCATGGGTAGTTCATTGATGCACATGTTAAAGAATGCATCGATGCACTGTAGAATGCATCGATGCACTTCAAGGGGAAATTAAAATAGACATTTCTTTTGGTCTAAGAAATGATAGATTAGAGTATATCAATGGGATACTGATATGTATTAATGTATGATTATG